AAAACAAAATGGCCGCCAGTCGGCCATTTCAAACTTGATCCGAAAAAAAAAAAAATGACGTGCATCAAGGTCCTATTATGTTTAATGTATGTACCAAATTTGAACAAAATCCGTCCATGCATAACTGAGATCTGGGTCCGGAATGGTGAAAATGTGCGATTTCAATGCATTTTCGGCCTTAAAGCGGCTGCCATTTGGCTATCGTTAATGAGATCATGAAACAAATGCACATACATATTTGTGACATGATGTACCTTGTGTGTGTGAAGTTTGAACTCGATCAATCCAGGCACGTCTCAGATACGGATCCAGAACTGAATTCTTTAAAACAAAATGACCGCCAGTCAACCATTTCAAACCCGATCCAAACAAAATCAAAGAAAGCTTAGAAAGAACTCCCGTGTGCTGAGAGTATTGAAGACACATTAAAAATTAATTCAAAATTACTTGTACATGAGATATTGATAGAAAAGCTGAAAACTAATTATGTACATCAGGTAACTAATATGAACAGAACAGAACAAAAAAATTATGAATTATTATGCTAATTAGAGAAATTAATATGAACAAATTTTAACCCAAAATTAATCAGGCCTGTCTATTGTCCTAGAGCATTTATGTACCAAATTTTATTCAAATGTGATGATCAGTAATTGAGATATCAGTGTTAATTAATTATGTTAATTAGGAGATTAATAAGCATAATTATTTACCAAAAACTAATTGGGTTTCTGCATAGTTCTCTTTAAAAGTTTCATTAAAATCCAATTTGTGGTTCTTTATATATCAGTGGAACATTATGCAAATTAGGTAATTAATATCCAATTAAAACTAATTAGGTCTCTGCATAATCCTAGAAGATCTATGTAGCAAGTCTCATTGAAATATGATGATTACTACTTGATATATCAAAAGCTGAAAATTAATTAATTATGCAAATTAGATAATTAATATGTACTCATATTACCCTAAAAACTATCAGGTTTGTGCAGTGTCCTATGACATCTATGTACCAAGTGTCATTGAAATGTGATGATTACTACTTGAAATATCAAAAGCTGAAAATTAATTAATTATGCAAATTAGCTAATTAATATATACTGATATTAGCCTAAAACTATCAGGTCTGTGCAGTGTCCTATGATGTCTATGTACCAAATTTCATTGAAATGTGATGATTACTACTTGAAATATCAGAAGCTGAAATATAATTAATTATGCAAATTAGGTAATTAATATGTACTCGTATTACCTTAAAAACTATCAGGTCTGTGCAGTGTCCTATGACATCTATGTACCAAGTGTCATTGAAATGTGATGATTACTACTTGAAATATCAAATGCTGAAAATTAATTAATTATGCAAATTAGGTAATTAATATGTACTCATATTACCTTAAAAACTATCAGGTCTGTGCAG